CTGCCAATCAGCTCTCGGGGTCTCTCCCAAGTGGAGTTGGAAACCTCGTTGCGTTGGAGTATTTGTAAGCAGCGTGAGATTTGCTGATGCTGCAAGCATATGTTTGGCATCAGTAATGGCTGAGTGGCGTTTTTAGGGAGAGAGAATGAGTGCTGCTGTTGTTTTTTTGGGGAGCACAACCTCCTTGACTGCACTAAGGTGTCATGTCATCATGTCATCATGTCATCATGTCATCATGTCATCATGTCATCATGTCATCATGTCATCATGTCATCATGTCATCATGTCATCATGTCATCATGTCATCATGTCATCATGTCATCATGTCATCATGTCATCATGTCATCATGTCATCATGTCATCATGTCATCATGTCATCATGTCATCATGTCATCATGTCATCATGTCATCAAGTGGACATGGAACATGTCATTATGTCATCATCATTTCATCATGTGCCACTGCTATCGTTCTTGCCCGTTGTGCTGCTAGTTCTCTCTACATCCCTGTTCCAAAGCATGCTGGGATGGGATGAGCTGTGACCCGTTAACTGTGCACGTTGGTTGTGTCAGCCAGGTGTTCTTTAACCTAGCACTTTTGTTTGATTCGAACGCTTCACATATTTTCCAAGGCCTTTCCTACGAGCAGCACATAGTTTCTTAATCTTGTTGCATTGCCACTTGGATGCATTCCACTCACATGTCTAGCGTCCAACACAGCAGTATTCTCGCTTACCCGCTTTCCACCGCTTGCGTCCAGATATTTATCGACCAATAATTTCACCGGGTCTATTCCAAATGAGATTGGAAACCTCGCTTCACTGAAGTATCTGTAAGCCATTCATGTGAGATTGTGCTGTATACCTGACTAGTCTGGCGGCGGCTTGCACGTTCGGCTCGTGTAAACGCCGGGCAGAGCTGGCTTGGATAGAAGACCTTGTGCAGTGCAGTGCAGGGATAAGCCAGGACCGTGTCATCACATCACATCACATCGCTCTGGTCATATGTGGGTGGGGTTAAATCCCTCTAGTCGTGTGTGATTTGTTTGAGCATCCTTAGTCTGTTCAGGTCGTCGACACTCTTCTACCGAATCTGAATTATCCTGGCACGGATGTTGCATAGGGTGATTAGAGAGGTAATCTGCAGTGCAGCAGCACCACTGTCAACCTTGATTCACCCTTAATGTGTAAGCCCGATTCCTGTCGGCTTGCTTAGGTAGCTATATCCCCAAAATGCATGCTTTTACTGTAGGCACCACCACCACCCACCCAAACTTACAAATTTTCTCCGCAAAAGAAGAACCAATCGAGGCTGTTTACATGGGTGAGCCTAAACAGCCTTGTCAGCCAGTGATGAGTCTATTTTTGAGTCGACTCATAAATAAACTCATCGAGGCTGTCTACATGGGCGAAGCCTAAACAGCCTTGTCAGCCAGGGGTTTCAAAAAGAAGCTTCCGTGGCTTGCTTCTGTAGAAGCGCGTCGCGGGCAGTGGCAAGGCGGTCAGGGAGGCGGGTGACTAACCAGTGCACAGTGAGCCACATGGGGGGGGGAGCAACAAGAAGCTGTGCGTCGGTACAGGCCGCACGAAAACCGGCGTCAAGCGAGCGGAGGTGAGTCACTAGGTTGGAAACAGTCGCAAACGAGCCTAGGTCGGGAAACACAAACGGCATGAGGAGGCGACTGAGGGAGGCAGAGGAGGGGGTGGAGTAGCGGGCAACAATAGCATCCCAAACCCCCTTGGCTGTCTCCACCTGGTCAAAGTGGGCGGCCTCAGTCGGGGGGAGGGTAGGTGGCCTTGAAGGAAGAGAAGGGTGCCGAAACTGTTTGTTTGGCGAGCATCACCTCGTTGATGTGTCAAAGGGTTTTCTGTACGAACAATTTGACCAGGATGCCATTTTGCCTTCATGGTTGTCCTAACCAACTGTCATCGCTGTGTCTCTGGTGCACACCTCCTTCCTTCCTGTGCCAAGAGCTGTGGTGAGCAGCTGAATGGCACACATTGTAGCAACCATATGCTTAGCACTGCGTGCTTGCACCTCTGAATTCCTTTCCACATCACATATATTCCTTAGACCGTAACTTACGGGGTCCATTCCAGCTGCTGTTGGAGGTCTCACAGACTTGACTTCGCTGTAAGCCTTGGCCGGCAATGTAAAGTGGGGCTGCTCTCGAGGCCTTGTGAGGCTCTACATACTCGCAAACATGTGCCAGGGCTGCTTCCGATTTCTCCCATCCCGCCACAGCTCCTTTTCCTCTGTTCGCACCATACAATGTTACTCACCTGATTTGACTCATCGTCATCAACCCCATTTTCCAAGTGTCACTTGTGTTCCCGCATGCTCACTCTCCCGCCATGCCCACTGTTCTCAACTCGCTTCTTTCTACACTCATTCCAAGCAGAGACCTCTCCAGCAACTCTTTGTCCGGCTCCCTTCCCAACAGCATCACCTCCCTCGGTCGGCTCCGCTCACTGTAAGAAAGAAGCTCTCTAGCATCATACACCATGGATGGGTTGGGTGGTGCTAACATCTCGTTTGCTCGCTTGAGTCTGCTCATGCCTGCCACGCCACAACATGTACATTTGTTTTGATGCTCTTTTTGCTGCAGGAGAGTCAATAACACCAACCTCAGTGGAACGCTGCCAACTTTTCTGGGGCTCTTGTCCCTCGATTCACTGTACGTGAGGCACTAGGCTGCTTCCGTCATCACCCGGATATTAGACACATTTTTCTTATCTCGCACTGCTCAGAATATGGTAGTCTATTTTGAAAATGGAGAAGAATGGGTGTCCTATAGATGAGAAACGAACTTCAGTGCGGAAATCAGATTTGACGAGAGAAGAGAGAACAGCAAGAGATTCCGTAATGGTGGTAAACGGTCTATGTTGTGTTGCGACCCCAGTTTGTTCCACGGTGGAACTTCCATCTTACATCTCCCCTTCTCACCGCAGCAACATCAGCAGCACAAAGCTCACGTGCCCGCCTGACTACACCTCTGGCTGTGACCCAGCGCTAGTATCGCCCAAGTCAGCCTTCTGCCACACGTGCCGCTCCTTCTGCAACACATGCGGCCAACCTTCAGGCAAGTTCATGAAGCACAGTCACTCGCACCAGAAAAAAGCCATGATGTTCACGAATTTTCATAATCCACGCAAGGGATTGCACAAGCACAGGGCATGGCACAAGCACAGGACATGGCACAAGCACAGGACGTGCCACAAGCACAGGACATGGCACAAGTCAAGTTGGTCATTTACGCCATTTCAGCCCGAGTACACGTAACGTACGCGTACATGTACGTTTACGTGTACGTACGCCGGGCAGGTATAAACAAAAATCCCCTAGAAATTTCTTTGAAAACGGTTTCCGAAAAAACTAAAAAAGAAAAAATCTTTCGACGACCTGTGCTGTGTTAGCGTGTTAGTAAAACGGCGCGCCGTTTTTCAAAGTAGTAATGTAAGAAACAGGAAGGTTGCTAGCTAGGGTTGCTATGGTGTGGCGACTACCCTACGTACTATGTCGGCTAAGGGCACAAGCAACCACAAAGAACGGCTCCTCTTCAGGAGGACGTTCCACTGTACCCTCTGCTGTGGAACAAGATAAGATTTTCAACGTTTCCTCTGCAAACTTCATTTGACTGCTTGGCTTCTTGCAATCAGCTATGCTCCCGCTGTTTGAAGTTCTGTCAGCATCACTATTCCCCACTGCATCACTCTATGCTCCGGTAGGTTCGACCGCAAACAGCAGCGCCAGCAGCAGCGAGTCTTCTCCAGCAGCATCTGGAGGTGGAGGGGGTGTATCAGTGGGAGCCATCGTTGGCATTTCTGTTGCTGCTGTGGCCATTCTGCTGCTGCTGCTGGGTTCCATGCTGCTCTATCTAAGGCACAAGATGCAGCAGAAGCCACCAGGTAGGACGACAACGCAATCAATGAATCTTGTGCTGTTGAGATTGAGACCTGATTCCTGCAGTTCCGAGTGCAGATGTCTGCAGTACTGTGATCAGTAAGAAACAAGGTTGGTTCTCGTTGAAGTATGCAGACTTGAGCGCGCAAGTTGAGTCAGGCCAGTTAGGCCTGGGTGTTTATGACCTGCCTTTCCTCGAGAAAGTCGAGTTGAATCATCGACAAGATGACTCGTCACTGAGGCATCGCCGGCTTGAGTCGGCTAATCCGTCTTCTTCACTCGCTTGGCCCAACTCAAGGATGAATTAGGCAAGGAAAAACTCTTGTCCGGGCAGGTGGAAATAACCAACTTCCAGGCAGGGGTTCACATGTTTTCAGTCTCTAACCACCTACGAGATATTCCAGACGCTGTGTGCTGGAAATCTGACAAGTCCATATGTAAGGGCTGACAGTAGATAAGAAGTAAGTTGACAATGTCGGTGGTTGAACTTTGTTGAGGTGGGCGCGAAGTGGTTGGGTGTCATAATGCTTGAGAACTTCCGTTGGGATCAATCTGGGAAATCTGCAACGAAGTTACCCCAACAGATCGTTATCCAATTCTCCCCTTCACCCTGCGGCCAGATCCCGGAACCAGCCTGGCAGCGGCGCACTGCACGGAGTTGTCACTGGAGGAGGTGCTCAAGGCCACCAACGACTGGTCGCAGGACAACCTGCTTGGCTCGGGTACATTTGGTGATGTCTACAAGGGCGTCTCTCCCCGCGATGGCACCACACCCTGGGCAGTCAAGCGTGCCAAGCTCATTGGCGCGGACTTTCAGAAGGAGGTGAGTGAGCTGCACTGCACTGGACAACATGGTCGGTATGATCCTCGAAAGAGGACCTAGTGGTTTGAGTGTGATTCCTCTTTCATGCTGTTTGGATTTTGGAACCAGGCTGCTCTGCGTGTGTGTGTGTGTAGCATAGCCTCTCTTTGTGGAGGACCCACTACTACTACTTTGTTTGGAATCCTGCTACTAACTCAGGGAGAAGCTCAGCCAGCCATGTGTGCCCTCTTTGGCCTTTCTTCATTGGCCTTCTCTTCTGCTTTCAGGTGGAGCAAATGGCCGATAAGAACCATCCCAACATTGTGCGGCTGCTTGGGTTTGCTGTCGGAGGGGACATGAGGACGCGGCCAGAGCAAGTGCTGATCTACGAGTTTGTGCCCAACGGTGACCTCCACAAGTGGAGAGATCAAAGTATGTGGGTGGGTCAAAAGTTTGTCCCGCAACAGCGGGGTTCATTCATGGGTGTTCTTCCTCCCTATTGCGCGGTTCAGATTGGAAACATACCCAGCTCAGCTGAGCTGCAGTATTCGTTCTCCGTTTCAGCGAGTCGGTTGCGAGTCGGCTGCGAGTCGCTGCGTGGCATTTCTGTGTGCCGTGCTCATGCCGAGATAGGTGGGCTAAAACCACGACTTTCGGAACAAGCACTCACATTTGGGCCCAAAACGAAAAACCTCCAGTCGTCTTTTCTTTTTTCCAAATCTGAGTCCTTCTGAATTTTATCCTTAGTTGTCAACATAGCACCCAGAAGCTACAAATATCTTGATTCAGAACATTCTCTGCTGGTTAATCACCTATCTCTGAGATCCATCCATTGAGTTAAGCTTCATCCCCTCGCTTACATCAAGCTTAGTATTCTACAAGTTAGTATTATTCACAGGCAATCCCCTGTCAGCTTGCAAGCAGGGCCGCTTAAAACCGGAGGTCCAAGAGTTTCTAAGTTAGGAAGGTTGAAAGGGGAGAGAAAGGTGACTGGCTCGCGAGCCAGGGTGGTGTCGAAATCGGTGGTAGCGGGTCGCTAAGTATGAAAAAGTCGCGAGTGTAACCAGATCTGGAATGCTACGTCAGAACTCGTTCGCTGACTGTTTCGGACGGGCTGCAAATGTGTTTGCGAAGTTGTCACCGCTATCGTCCTCGCTTGAACAGTAATTTCGCTTGGCGAAAATCGTCCCAACAATTTGCGAGGAGAGCTCGGTATCAACTGGGTCACACCCAACCAAAGCTAGGAAGGTTGAGGCAGTTTCGGGCTGTTTGGGACTCCGGTTTTAAGGCTAGCCCTGTGAGCCCCTTCAAGTCAATGTCAGTGGTGCAAGTCGCATGGAAGTGCCATGCCAAAACTGGTGGGTTCTTCTGTCCTGGTTGCCTTGCTCTAAGCTGGCTCGGCTCAGATGGGGAAAGGGACGAGCCCACCTCGGCTCGTGGCGCACCCCGTCTGTTCAGACCGTAGCTGCAAAGGATGGGCCTCTAGGTTGTTAGGTTCCTCACTGCATGTGCTCCATGACTTGTTGTAACCCCAGCTGTTTTCTTCTTCTTGTTCCTCCCCCACCTTCCCCTCTCCCTCCCCCCCGGCCTACCCCCACCCCCCCGCAGAAGCATCACAACCCTTGAGCCTTCAGCAGCGACTGGACATTCTCATTGGCGTTGCACGTGGCCTGGAGTATCTCCACAGCTTCAAGATTGTACACCGCGACATCAAGCCCGCCAACATCCTCATTGGAGATGACATGCAGGCAAGCTCTCATCCAACACACACCACATTGTAACAGCGAGACAGTGCGGGCATGCCAGTGCTGACATGCCAGTGCGGACATGTGATAGTCGATAGTTGAGCTACTTGGTTGATTTGAGACCAAAGCATGAGCACAAGGCAGACCCAGGCCGGTCCGGTCCGGTTGGGCTGTGACGATCCGGCCTGACTCGGCCAGCTTTTTAAGATGTCAACCTGCGGCCCGCCAGAATATGGCAGGCAGGCAGACTCCTGCCTGACGGACAGGACTGTAGTAAGTAGGCAATCATTCGTGCGGATCAACGGTTAAAATATGCCGACTGGCGTGGATCAACGGTTGGAATTCGCCACGCCACGCTGATCCGATCGACAAACGAAAATGTGCATCCTCTCATATCGACGGCCAAGATGCATCGATCCACGCAGATCGGTGGTTGAAATTACCAATCTGCGGCGCAGACCAGAGGTCAAACGGCTTGATCTACGGTCGATGTGGTCGATCGATCCAATAAGACAGCGGGTTGGTCGACCCGAGTTTGGGTCGGGTCAAACCGACCCTCCCTCAGTTCACAGCCGAGCCGACGCCCATAGGTCTGGGTTGGGTCGGGGGCAGGCGTGGGCTCCCGCCGATTACGGGTCGAATTGATCCGGCCCAAACCCAACTCGGTTCGAGGAAATTCCGGTTCGAGGAAATTCCGGTTCGAGGAAAGTCCGGTTCGAGGAAAGTCCGGGTCGGGTTGAAAGTCTGAGTGCAAGGACCTGGACGGGTGGCATTGGGAGTGGATGGAGGGCACGTATTGTGAGGGAAAGAGGAAGCAGCATCTTCAGTTTAAGGGCAAAAAAAGAAGGCGGCTGAAACGGAGGCATGTGACAAGTTGAGTTCACATGACTGTATTGAATTCACTCATCTGACTCAGTTCACCCGATCCCATGCATTTCATGTCAACTTAAATTGAAAAGGGTGTCGAACCGGTTCTGCTTGACGCGGCTTTATTCAAGATATTAAACTGACTCAAGGGATTCGATTCGAGTCGCACTTTGGACGGTTTGAGTCGATCGAACCTGGGCTCAAGTATAAGCACAAGAGGGGGGTGGAGGGCGACTGAGGCACCAAGGACTCACCTTGAGGAAATAAGACCCATAGTAATGGAGAAGGAAGAAAATCTCTCCAAGGAGAGGAATATTTGTACACCATACAAGTCCGTTTTCAGAAATCAGCTCAACGTGCCCTTGCAGGCAGGCCTCAGGGCAGACTTTTTCTCTACCTCTGAACAGGTCTGTCTGGGCCAGCCTGGTCCGGACCAATGATCAGGTTTCTACCATCGTACTTGTGGTTTGATTCCTGCCAATCATCTATGTCTTTTGCCTTGGCTACATTGGTCCTGCACCCACCAGGCCAAAATTGCAGACTTTGGGGTTGCGAGGATGGTAGAGGGCACGACAGTGGGCAAAACTCAATACGCGGGAACACCGGGCTATATGGATCCGGCTTACATCAAGACACGCACGGCCACCACAGCTTCTGATGTCTACAGGTGAGCTAGGAACCCCATGGAGAGGCTTAACAGTAATAATACACCATTCCAAGTTTGTGATTGACGGAACTTACCCTCACCGTGCCTGCGTATGTGGTTAAGATTTGTCACCACTGCTGTCTGATTGCTCTCAACACCCGTCCCTCTCTGCAGCTTTGGTGTGCTCATGCTTGTGGTGCTCTCTGGACGCCCTGATCCCACCGACTGCGATGGCAATGGCCAACACATCCTGCAGTGGGTACGTGGCATGCCATGCCATGCCATGCCATGCCATGGCCGAGTGCCCTGTAGACTAGTGTAACTTCACAGCCTGCACAAGTGGTGACTAGCTCGTTTTGGGATAGGAAAAATCTTTCTCAATTCAGCCTGCACAAGTGGTCAGCGTTGTGTTGTGATCCGCATGACTGATAGCCACTCCCCGTTACTCTATTTCTGTCGCTTCTGTAGCAACCTATTTGATTGCTCCCATCGCTTCGTCCTGCACTATTCTCCCTTCTGATTTCTCCAGCCTGTACCCTATCCCACCATTTGCACGCCCTCAGGCATCTGAGTGCTTCGCCTCGGGTAATTCAGCGAGCCTCAAGGACCCAACCATGGACGCCCCTGGAGATGCGGTGCTGCGCGTGGCTGAGCTGGCAGTGAGCTGCACCGTGGACCGCACTGCAAGCCGCCCAAGCATGGCGCACATTGCCACCCAGCTGCAGGCTGTCAGGGAGGAGGTGGCGGGGAGAGAGGAGCTGCGAGAAGCACTCAAGGTGGACACGGAGGTGCAGGAGATGAGGGAAGATCCACCTGGCGATCTTGACGAGGAGCTCAAGGAGATTGGCGTGATCCTCTCAGGGAGATTGCCAGGTCAAGATCGCGCCGAGTGCAGTGCCAGGGAGCCTTTGATGGATTCTTCAGCACCGGCACGCTCTCCAGATCTCCAGAACTCCAGCTCTCTAGCTCTCCACCGCTCCAGCTCTGATGTTGCGTGTGAAATCAGCTGCTTGAGTAGTGGTTAGGCTCGATGGCATGCCCAGCTTGCAATCAGCTTCTGCCCAGATTGTTTTGCGTGTCTAACTGACTGCCTCGGAGGGTGCCAAGAGCTGTGTATCATTCTTGTGATGTGAGTTGGTCAACTTTCTCTTGTATGGTATGCATGGGAATGGAAAGGGGGTCAGAATGACTGCAATGGACATACGGGTATGAGCATGTTAGCAAGATGAAACAACCAAGAAAGGCATCGTCAAGCGGCCAAACCAAAGCTTCCATGCAGTGACAACCTCCTGCCGTTAGCACACAACACTACGCTAAAGGTACTGATACTAAATCTTTATGGAATCACCACCACAAACGACACAAGCAGCCACTCTCAGGCTTCTCCCCACCCTCCTCCCCGCGCTTCCTTCTCATATTCACCACAGTGCTGAGAGTCAAAAGATTAGCTGCTCCTGAGTCCTGACTTCTGATTAACCACTCCTCGTTTCTGCTATGCTACCTCTCGTACCACCAGCAGCATTGTCACACCCTTGAGAAGTCTCTCACGGTTACTGTCAGGCACCCTGACATTTACACCAAACTGGAGTGAGTTGTGTTACATACAACCAGACTTTCCATGTCTTTACAAGCCACAGCCACAGCCACAGCCACAGCCACAGCCACAGCCACAGCCACAGCCACATCTCCTCTCTTTCCAAGTCACAGCCTTCTTGGAAACCTCTTCCTTGCAGGGATGCTGCTTCTGCGATCGGATCACTGCTACTGCTGCGTTTCTCCTCCTGCTACCGGCACAGCTCTCTGGCGCCTAGGGCTACCAGACCAGAGGCCATGTGGGAACAGGGCTCGGATGGGGGAAGCAGGCCGTGGCAAGCCTCGCGCCACTAACGATGAGGATGGAAACGAGCTGCTACCATCCGTGGAAAATCCGTCACCCCTTGAACAGCCGCCTTCACCTCTGGAATCACCCATGCCCACCACCTTGCTCCGCGCGCCACCTCCACCGCTGCCCACCCAGGCGGTGCTTCTGCCGCCGCCGCCGCTGCTGCTGCTGCCATTGCCGCTCCGACTGCTGGGGAAACTACCATGAGAGATGAATGAACCAGACTGCAAGCTGCTGCTGCTGCTGCTGCCACTCGTTCCAGCCGCAGCTGAGATCTTGGCATCACCACCTTTCACAGTATTAGCAGCAGCAGCAGGTGAAGGGTCGGAGGAGGCAGCCGGCCAGACACGACGCGGAGAGGGATAGCGAGGGAAGTGGAAACTCGAGAAGGCGGAAGGAAGGGAGGACGGTAGGCGCCTGCTTGCTGATGAAGATGGTGCCTCGTCCACATCTGTGAACTTGGAAGTGCTACTCTCTACAGCTACAGGCACCACCCCCCTTCCGTTCTCTTCCTTTCCGCCCCCTCCCACGCCTCCTCCACTTCCTCCCCGTCCTCGTTGCTTCCACGGACTCATCACCCCTCTCCACCTTCTACCCTCCCCCCTCACAGTCTCACCATCCCTTCCCTCCATTCCTATTCCTACTCTCTCCTGCTCTGCCACGGACTGCTTGCCAATCTCCTCCTCCCCATGACGCTGCTGCTGCTGCTGCTGCTGCTGCTGCTGCTGCTGCTGCTGATCCGGCCAGCCCACAAGAGAATACACAATTGACTCATCGGTCTCATGCTCATGGCCTCCTCCTCCTTCTCCGTCCTCACCATCTGCTGTCTCCAGATGTATGTCAGGGATGGCAAAGAGTGGGAACCCACGCACCCCAACACCACGCGACCCTGCTGCTGTTGCTACTGCTGCTGCTGCTTCTGCTGCTGCTACGGATACTAAGGATTCTCTATTTACTCCTGAAGCAGATTCTTGTGGGTGTGGAAGAGCAGCAGCAGCAGCACTAGAGGACCCCCCCCTCCCTCCAGACCGACGCTCAGAAGAGTTGAGGCGTGAGAAAGATGATAGGTTGGGGGACGGGGAGGGATGAGAGGAGGAGCAGGTGGAGGAGGAGGGAGGGGGTGAGAAGTGCGGCGAGGAGGCGGAGACAGCAGAGAGAGAGGCAGCGAGAGGGGCAAGGGAGGACGAAATGGAGACAGAGGATTCAGCAGAGCATGTGCGAGAGAAGAAGAGGCTTCCAGTTCTTGTTCCCGATCCAGCAGCAGCAGATACAGGAGCAGCAGTAGCAGCAGCAGATACAGGAGCAGCAGTAGCAGCAGCAGGAGGAGCAGGACACAAGGCACTGGTAGTGTTGCTCCCAACAGCAGCAGCAGGAGAAGAAGGCGGAGGTGAGGGAGAGACAGCAGGCGGAGCATGTGCAGCAGCATGTAGCAGCGGGTGGGTAGCCCTTCTGCCCCGGTGATCAGAGTGGAGGGAAGAGCGTAGGCTATGCAAGATGGACGAGGCCCGCTGCAGCCACTGCTTCCTCTCCACCACCTTTCCTCCTCCCCCATCCCTCGTCCCCTCCCTCGTCCCCTCGCTCACCACCACCATCCCTCCACAACCTCTCACCCGGCCTGTCTCAGCCTCTACTCCATTCCCACTCTTGCCTGCTGCAAGACTGTTCCTGGCCTGCCAATTCTCACCGCCAGCTTGCAGTGTCCTCCACTCTTCACCACCATCCAGCTGACCGTCTTCCTCGTTCTCACTCACCCTCTCTACCACACCCCTCCACTCTCTGCCCTTCCCAGCAACAGCATTCCTCCCTCTCGCTTGCTGCCTTTCCAGCTCCTCCTCCTTCTGCCTCAACGTCTCCCTCTCCAACGCTACCTGCCTCTCTCTCTCCCTCACCCTTGCTCGCAGCCTCGCAACCTCCTCTGTAATCCGCTGCTGCCTCCGTTGCTCCTGTGCCGCTTCCCCATCCTTCTCTTCCTTCCCCGCTCCACTCTGCGCCCCCCCCTCAGTCTCATCACCAGCCGCTCCTTCATCTCTCTCCCTCACTCTCAACAATTTTTCCTCCTCTTCCTCCTCCTCATCCTCATCCTCCTCATCCTCTTCCTCCTCCTCTTCTTCCTCCTCTTCTTCCTCCTCTTCCTCCTCCTCTTCCTCCTCCTCTTCCTCCTCTTCCTCCTCTTCCTCCTCTTCCTCCTCTTCCTCTTCCTCCTCCTCTTCTTCCTCTTCCTCCTCCTCTTCCTCCCCTTCCTCCTCCTCTTCCTCCCCTTCCTCCCCTTCCTCCTCTTCCTCCCCTTCCTCCTCCTCTTCCTCCCCTTCCTCCCCTTCCTCCTCCTCTTCCTCCCCTTCCTCCCCGTCTTCCTCCCCTTCCTCCCCGTCTTCCTCTTCCTGCTCCAATGCCTCTTTCTCTTCTCCCTCTTCCTCTTCCTCGTCCTCTTCCTCTTCTTCCTCCTCCTCCTCCTCCTCCTCCTCCTCCTCCTCCTCCTCCTCCTCCTCCTCCTCCTCCTCCTCCTCCTCCTCCTCCTCCTCCTCCTCCTCCTCCTCCTCCCTCCCTGCATATTCCACTTCATCTTCATTTTCACACTCCTCTTCCCCGTCTACCTCTTCCTTTGACACGTTCTCCCCTTGCTCCTCTTCCTCACTCTCTCTCTCCTCCTCATGCTCCTCATATTCGTAGTCATCCTCCTCTTCCTCTTCGTCCTCCTCATCCTCATCCTGCCCCACCGCATCTACCTCTGCTTCCACATCGTCATCCTGGCATCTCAATCCGCCTCTCCCCTCACCATCTCCCATCACCTCCACATCGCCATCCCATTCTCCTCCTCCTCCCACACCCACCTCCTCCTCTCTCCCCTCTACCTCTCGCTCAAAACCGCACTCCACCGGCTTCAACTCATCCCCAGCACCACCTCCCCCCTCTTCACAATCCCTCTGCGAGCCCTCACATGCACCCAGAGCCAACCGTTTACATCCCTCCATTTTAGTCGACTCAAAAGTCCCCTCACATGCACCCAGAGCCAACCGTTTACATCCCTCCATTTTACCACCTGCCTCCTCTCCCACCTCCCCAAGCAGCACCTTCCTGGAAGCTCCCACCTGCATGAGGTCCAGAACTGCCTGAATCACCCGCAGCGTGTCACTCCCTGCTGCCGCCTCCTCCCCTTCCCCTACCTCTCCGTTCTCCTCACCGTCTGAACCAGCCCAGTAACCTCCACTCGCAGCACTGTAACCGCCTGCACTTGTGGCAAGGGCGCTGCTGCTGCTGCTGCTGCTGCTTTTGAACGCAACCAGACTCGTGCTGCTGCTGTGAGAGCCAACTCCACTTCCCTCTCCCCCCTCCCATCCCTCACCTCTATCTCCTCCATACAAACCCCCTTCTCCTGCACCCCTCCCGGTCTCTCCCATACCAACCCCAGGTAACAACCCCCCACCACCCCTCCCAAACCCCGTCAGCACCGCTCCTCTTCCTCTCCCCAGCCCTCCTCCCTCCCCCCCTCGCCCCTCTACTCCTCCCCACGCTCCTCGCCCCACTCCTCCTGTATGCGCCAGGCGCGGGTTAACAGCAGCTCTGAGGCGCATCACGGCCTGCACCCACTGCTGCCTCTCCTCCACCTGCGCCCCTCTCTCCCGCCCTCTCCTCTGCCGCTCCACCTGCACCTGCTGCTTCAGACCTGCGCTCACATGCTCCCTGACTGCGGTTGACTGCGATAGCTGGTGGTTCATTTTATAGTGGAAAAAGGGGAAAAGAGGGTGAGGAAAGGGGGAAGAGGGGAAGGAAGACTTTGTGGTTAACTCAAAAATCACATTGCTTGAATGCTCCTGCCGTGTGGCTGACTGCAACAGCTAGCGGGCCATTTCGATGGGTAAAATAATAACAGAAACGAAAGGGGGAAGGCGGTGGGCGGTGGATGGGGAGGAGGGGAAGGGGGGCGGTGGGAGGAGTGGAGGGAAGATGGGACAGAGAGATGCGGAGAGAGGGAGCGCGGGAGAAGAGGGTTGGGTTAGGGTAGTGCTGGCGCTCACCTGTCGCCTGAGCGCCCCCACCTCCGCCTCTGCACGTCTCGAACCGGTTACCACCGTGATTTTTACACAAAATTTTTTTTACAAAGTACTACTGACATTCACCAGGTGTTGAACCAAAGTTGCTGCCACGTATTATCTCAATGGCGCCTAACTGGTGTCCACTTCAGCTCACCTGTCGCCTGAGCGCCCCCACCTCCACCTCTGCACGTCTGGCCTTCATCTCCCACGCCTCCTGCTGCATGCTTGCACTCTCCAGGGACTCGCCCAGCTAATAACGGGGATATGGGGATGGGAGCGTGGAGGCGAGAGGAGTGGCGAGCGCAACGGGCGGAAGGGGAACTATGAAGAAAAGGCGAGCAGGGGTTGGGTGGCGCTTAGAAGAGTGAACAAAAGAAAGGAACGAGCAATTAGGCATTTGCCTAGGAGTTGTTTGGGGAACATTGTCACTGTGGGCAAGAAGTGACTTTTGAGTCGACTCGTAAGGAGTTGTTTGGGGAACGTTGTCACTGTGGGCAAGAGAGGCGTGGAGGCGCCTTAGCCGTGCTGCATAAGGCCATTTCAACTCCTCCATGGGCTCGTTTCAACTCCTCCATGGGCTCATTTCAACTCCTCCATGGGCTCGTTTCAACTCCTCCATGGGCTCATTTCAACTCCTCCATGGGCTCATTTCAACTCCTCCATGGGCTCATTTCAACTCCTCCATGGGCTCACCTCAGTAATGCACTCAGTTGCATCATCCGCAGTAACAGGTGCTGCGGCCTTTATCCTTGCTGTTGCTACTTCTGCTGTCAGCCCTGGCTCGACCAATCGTGTTGCGCCTTCAGGAACCTGTGTTGCCGGTGGTGCCAGTGGTGGTGCCGGTGATGGCGGCAGCAGCAGCACCGGCAGCAGAGTCCGTGGCACCACTGCCCCCTCGAGGGCAGCTACTGCATCACCATGCACACACTCACGCCCATCCCCCCAGTCCGCATCACGGAGGCTCACCGCAGGAGAAGCCTCAGGGACAGCGAGAGGGTGCAACGAACGAGCAGTGCAATTGCTTCTGCGACCATCGTACTCTATACTCTCAACCGTTTCAGTCGACCCGGAACGTGAGTCTGTGATCTCCCCCCCTCCTTCCCCACTCGCCCGGTCCGACTCTGTGCTGCTGGTGCCCTCGCCACTCCAGCCACCACCACCATAGTTATGCCTCCACCCATCGTCCTTTCCCCCATCAACATCAGCATCAGCACCAGCATCAGTATCAGTATCAGCATCAGCATGAGCGTCGGTGGAATGCAATGAGCCCAACAGCTCCATTCCTCCCTCTAATCTAATGGTCATTTTGCCCTCTGCCACTTCTCTACCACTCGCTCCACTCCCTCTCATCATCGCCAGCAACCCTTCCCCATCTTCCTCCCCTTCCTCCTCCTCTTCCCCCTCCTCTTCCTGCTGCCCCTCTTCCTCCTCATCCTCGTCCTCCTCTCGATCCACCTCCTTCCATTCCTCCACAGCTTTCCCCTCTATCCCTCCCGCCTCCCACCCCTCCAGCCTCTCACCCTCCTCCCCTCCACCCTCCTGCGCCTCCTGCTGCCGTGCTGCAACCTCCCTCACTCCCACCGCACACTCCTCCCGCCTCCTCTTCCTGCCACCCACGCACCCCTCACTGCGACCAGGTTCAGGCCGTGCTTCTGAAGGCAGTGAACGCTGTGGGGAGAGGTGAGCAGCAGTGAGTGGGTGTTGAACAGCAACGGAGCAGAGGTCTCGAGCCCAATCATCACCCCCCTGCCTCCCTGCTGTGCCGTACTCTCCGTCTCGTGCCCCCATGCCATCTCGTGCCGCCGCTGCTGCTGTCAACTGCGTTTGGCTTGCAGCCTCATGCCCGTCCCGAATCTCATTCTGTCCTTCTTCCTTCGTTTCTTCCTCCGCCTCCTTCTCTTCCTGCTCCCCATCCTCCGTTTCCTCTTCCCTTTGCGTCATTCCCTCCTCCCCATCCTTTTCCCCCTTCCTTCCCTTCCGCACCTCCCTATCCTCCTCTCCCCGCTCCCTACTGTCTCCCTTTCCCTCCTCGTTCCCTTCCCTCTCGTCTCCTCCTCGCTCGTCTCCTCCTCTCTCCTCTTCCACTTCGCTTTCCCCTTCCGGACCCTCCAAATCCACCGCATCTCCTCTCCCCTGGCCCCCTTCCTCCTCCCCCTCCGCCTCCCTCTCCTCCTCTTCCTCATCATAAGTCCTCCCCCCATCACGGCTATCACCGAATGCCACACCCATTTCCTCCTCATCCGCAGCTTCTCCCTCCCCTATCCCCACCTCTCTTCCAGTGCCCCCAAAGTCGAACCCATCACCTCCACCATATTCTCCTCCACCCCCCTCACTCGCTTCATCCTCCCACTCCTCCTCCTCCTCCCTAAACAAGCATACCTTTCCAGTTGTCTCGTCTCCGTCTAAAACCACGTGTCTCCCCCTTGTTTCCCAGACTCCTCCTACCCCTCTCACTCCCCCCAGCAGCATGTCCCCGTCACCGCCACCGGCAGCAGCAGCAGCAGTAGCAGCACCAGCGCTGGCACTAGCAACAGCGCCATCGTCCTCTTCCTCTTCCACGTCAGCAGCAGAGGATGCCACGTCAAGAGCGACCATGTCCAGCCTGGCAAGGTCCAGCCCCGGTTCAATGAGCACGTGAGACGATGACCCCATCGCATCCTCCTCCTCATCCGCATTGCTCTGCGAAAACGCATCCTCCCCTGCTTCACCTGCACCCATACCCATGCCCATGCCCATCCCCGTACCGATCCCCATCCCCATGCCCACGCCCAAGCCCATGCCTGCACCCACGTGCCCAGCCTCCGACACGTCTTCTCTGTCTCTTTCTCTTTCTCTGTCTCTGTCTCGGTCTGCCGCCCCCCTGCGTGCTCGCATCTTGGCCAGGCGTGTGAGGCCATTCCACCCACCGAACGCCGCTGCTGCAGCCACCATTCCACTGCCCAGCCCCGACCACATGCCGTCCGTGCCCCTTCCTGACTCGTCCCTTTTCGTCTCCTCTTCCCCTCCTGCTGCTGCCACCGCCGCTCCACCCTCTCCTCCTCTCTCTGCTCCTCCCTCTCCACCTCCCTCTCCACCTCCCTCTCCACCTCCCTCTCCATCTCCATCTCCCTCTCCTCTCCTTTCTCCACTATCCTCTCCATTACCAATCATCTGCCTTTGCCCCAACCCACCACGCACCTCCCGTTCCCCTCCCTTCCCACCCGTCAACCTCTCACCACCTGCTTCTCTGCTCTCCTCCGCACTACTCACCAGTACCACTGACATCACCCCATCGTCTCCCCTTGCTCCTATTTCTCCGCCCTCGCCTCTGCTGCCTCTCTCGCTCATCCCCGTCTCCCCCGTCTCATCCCCCTCCGCCTTCGCCCTCACCTCCCCCCATGTGCACTCCTCCTCAATCGCTTGCACCTCTGCTTCCCCCTTTTCCTCCCGCCGCACTGGTTTCTCCCCTTCCCCAATGTCCTCTCCGCCCTCCGCACCACCCTTCCCCCCACCCGCGTCTAGCCGGCTCTCACCCCAGAGCCTCCTGTCATCTCCCTCTTCCACACCTTCCTCCTCCCTTTCCCCGTCCCCTTCCTCCTCCAATCCCTCCCCTTCCCCCATCCCCTCGCCCTCCCCCTCCGCCTCTCGCTCCCCCTCCTCCTCCCCCTGCCTCTCCCCCGCTAGTACGTCCGCCTCCTCTGCAAGCAATTCACTTCCCGCGTCTCCGCCGTCCGCGCACGCGCCCCTTGCGCCGCTGCCCCCCCACGCCCACCCGAACAGGCGAGGGGAGGACGAGGGGTCGCGGACCAGCGATAGGGGGAAGGCGAACGGTCCCTGCATGGAGGAGGGTAAAAAGGGGGGAAGGGAAGGTCGGAAAGGAGGGGGGAGGCGGGATAGCGGTGGGAGGAGGGGGAGGGAAAGGGGAGGGAATGGGGAGTGAAAGAAGAAAGAAAGGTAAAGTAAAGGGGAGGGAAATGGGAGGGAAAGGGGAGGGAAGTGGGAGGAAAATGAGAGGGGGAAGACGGGGAAAAAACAAAGAAACAGATGTAAAGGAGAAGCAAGGGAAGAAGGGGTAATCAAGGCATGTAGTCTGTGCCTGCGTGCGTGTGCGTGTGTGCGCTGGGGTGTGCAGCGCAAGCCTTAGCATGATCGCAGCACCGTTCCTCTCTCACCTCTAACGATGACGTCACACTCGCAACTCCCTGACTCCCACCATCCCACTCCTGCCCCGCGCTTCCCCTCCCCCTCCCCCCGCCATCTCCGGAATCCCACACGCTCCCCGCGCCCCTGAACCACCCCGCAAGCCCCCATTCCGCACTCGCCCCTAACCGCAAGAGCTCCCCCGCCAATCCCTCCGCCTTCCCCTCGCCTCCACCTCCGCTTTCCCCTTCGCTGCATCCTCCGCCTTCCTCTTCGGCCTCCGTTCCGCCACCCACTCCGCCTCCCTCTCCGCCTTCCCCTCCGCCTTCCCCTCCGCCTTCCCCTGCGTCGCCTGAGTCATTTCTTGCGTCGCTTGTGTCACCCGTGGTTTCATCCCCCACAGCAACACCGTCGTTACCACTGCCATCCACAGGGGCAACAGTCGTAGCACCAGCGGTAGTAGCGCCAGCACCACCACCACCACCACCGCCGCCGCCGCCGCCGCCGCCGCCGCCGCCGCCGCCACCGCCACCGTCGCCAGCGCCACTGCCGCCGTCATCCCCTTCAGCTGCTACTGCTGCTGCGGCTGCGATAAGTCCGCTCACGCACCCCCCTTCGTCGTCGCTCTCCTGCCCAGTGGCAGAAAGTGGGCGTGGAGGCGGCGGGGAGGCGCGCGGAGCGAAAGCCGCGGACAGAGCGGAGATGGGGGCTAAGGGGAACGCGGAGTTTACGGGGAAGCCGAGGCTTGAGGGGAAGGCGGAAACGAGGGGATCTTCGTGGGGAATGAAGGAAACAGCGGGTGGTATAGGGTCCGCGGAAGGGACGGGGCTAGTGGGGGAGGAGGTGGAGGGGCTGGGGGCGGCGGAAGGCAAGAGGGGGATATCATCGGGGGATTCGGGGCATGCGAGGAGGACGGGGAAGGCGAATGGTGCGTCAATGACTGCGGGCGGCGGTGCAGATGAGCTGCTATCGTGGTGTGCTCTGATCGAATTGCCTGAGGTGCTGTTGGTGGTGGTGACGGTGGTGCTACTGGTGGTGGTGGTGGTGGGTTTTGTGTCATGGCACCTCACCAATCCCCTCCTCGCATCACACCTCTCACCCAGCCACGAACCCTTCTCCCCATCTCCCTCCTCCCCCTCTCCCTCCTCCTCTCCCTCCTCCTCTCCCTCCTCCTCCTCCTCCGCCGCCTCCTCCTCCCCCTTCTCCCCTTCCCCTTCCCCCTCATACCATGTCGCGGACTGACCCTCACCCTTCCCACCATCCTCCCCCCCAAACTGCCGCCCATCCTGCATCTCACTATCCTCCCTCTCATTCGCACCTCCACCCCCCTTATCTTCTATCACCTCATCCCTCCCTGCCCCTGCCCCTTCCCCTGCCCCTGCCCCTGCCCCTGCCCCTGCCCCTGCCCCTGCCCCTGCCCCTGCCCCTGCCCCTGCCCCTGCCCCTGCCCCTGCCCCTGCCCCCGCCTCTATCCCCGCCTCTTCAGCAACCGCATCCTGCTCGCTCTCCGCGCTGCCCTCCTCCCCCGCGCCGAACATGGGGTTCACCCACCTCACCGTGCGCACGCCGGCGGGCATCGCGCTACCACCGCCCGCGACCTGCTGCTGTCCGCCCAGCGGCGCGGGGAAGCGGACGGGAGAGAGCGACTTTTGAGGCGTGTCAAGTGTCACTGGCGCCGGGAAGCGCCCGGGAGCGGGCGGAAGGCGCGCGGTTGAAGCTGCCTCATGCGGGGCTGTTCCCGCCAGCAGAGGCGGAAGCGGAGGGGGAGGAAGCGAGGGCATGAAGGGAAGGGGGGTTATCGGGTGGCGTGGTGGAGGGGAGCCAGATGCGGGGCGGGAGGAAAACGCAGCGACGGAGGATGGCGTAGTGCCGGAAGGAGGGAGAGATGGAAGGGAAGGGGACGCCGGAGCGGCATCTGGTCGACACAGCAAGCCGCGCGCCGTGGGGTTCGCGGTGCCTGCAGGTGTTGCTGCGGAGCTCGACGGTTGATCAGGGAAGAAACCCGTCGCGAGACTCTTAGTATTCTTACGATCAGCATCGTCCGCCAACTTCCTTCCGCCGTAGTGGCAGCTGCTGCCGCCGGCACTCAGCCCACCGTTACCGCAGGCGCGCGCATCCGCGTCCTCGTCCGGCGCAGCAGTCGGAGCTAGCGCCCCTGCGGCCGCCCTCGGCACCGCGGAGACGCCACTGGCGGAGTCATCTCCGCGTCTCGCATGCCGCGGGCAAGCGCCGGCGCTTTCGCCCGACGCTGCCGCCGCGGCGGCGCTCGCCGGAGCTACTAGTAACGATGCTGCGGTCCCTCCTGATACCGCAGAGACGGAAGGAGCATGTCCTTGCGTGACCAGCGGAGAGATAGTGGAAGCGGCGGTGGGTGCTGTCGACGTGGGTCCGTGAGTGCTGGAGTGATCTATTGCAGACTTTGAGTGAGGCGCCCCATGGGCCGCAGCGACAGCCGCGTTCCCAGTCGTTGTCGCAGTCGCAGTCGCAGTCGCAGAAGGCTTGGCAGCGGAAGCGGCAGCGGCGACGACTTGCACCTTCTCCTTCAGTTCCCGCAGACGCGCGAGGCGGGAGATGACAGAAGGCCGCTGCGGCGTGGACGTGTGTGCCGTGTCCGCGTCCACGGCCATAGCATCTAGCTCCTCTTCCCCCTTAAATCCCGCTTAGTCCACGCGATTAATTTGACCCCTTAGCTCCCCACTTCTTAGATCCCGCTTAGATCACACGACAGGGGAGGATTGGGGGCGGTAACTCGACTAGATGGACCCCACTCCCCACCCCTTCCTCCTTAGATTCCGCTTCTGTGCTCGCGTGGCGGAGTCAGTGACTGGTCGAGAGGGCGGGTGTTCAGGGTCGGCTGTTCTTGAACAATATTGCATCAAGTCGGTCGGTAGCGGGCAGCGTATAGCCTTCGACTAGACAGTGACTAACGGGCGCGATTTTATAATGGACGGAATGCGTGCGGACTTAGAATTTTATTTGAGAGGCTGGCAGTCGTCACGAATCAGTCTGAGGTAAGCGCATGCGAGGTGATTGTTTTAATGGCTTCTTCTGTTAACTAGCGCGCCTTTCATGAACCTAGGACTATCTCTTCTGTGTCCACCAACGGATAAAGCCACAGCTTTTCGAGAGAAGATGCGTATCGGAAAGTCGCGTACGGAAAGGATAGGGAAGGAGTTCGGTCGACTCCAAGGTTGACCAGGACAGGGGCTGAAATGGGCTGTGCAGCGCAATTTTCATGCGGCTCGATTTGGTCCTTGACAAGCGAGGTGTGGTTTGGGGGGGGGCGGCAGGGCAGAGCAACTGCAATCCACAACATTCTGGTGTGATTTCTCGGATTCCAACTTCCAATGTTGAGAAAAGTGCGCTCCGTGACGCCACCTCTCGCGTCGCGAGAGCTGGTAAACCACTTCCCCGGCAATGCACGCCTCTCTGCCGCTAGCTGTTGGGGGAGAATTTTCGAGCCGCGTATGAGGACCCGTTTGAGAAAGGCAACAGCCACAGGTTTCCTACTTCGGCTCGTCGGAAAGTTTCGGACGACTGCTGAAATATACCGACGTTCGTCTGGTACTTTGTTAATGTCCAGCTGTAGGGGCCAAAGTATGAATCTTTGTGTCGAGAAATGAACTTCCTACGTCAACGACGAGCACGAGCTTTCAAATCTTCCAGAACTAACGGCCCCACAAACCTGGTTTTTGGCGGCCACTTGAATGGGCAGTTAAACATAAATCGTGATACAGAATTTGCATGGAGTGTAGACTTAGGCTGTATAAATAAAGTAGCACTAGGGAAAAAATATGGAATGTAGGTGGTGTGATTCTTTTTCCCGTCGTCGCACTTGGATCCTCGGACGCTACCCTGGATGCAATAACATGTGCTTAGTAGTTCGTGATGGTAATAAACACGGTACATCTAAATCCAAAAGAGCTTAACCTTTTTAACTTCCCAGAATTCCTGGAACATGATCTGGAAAAAAAAAATGTTTTCTCTTTGGCGTATTTATTACAGCACGATCAATATGGATGAATGTTTAAATCTTCACTAATGATTGATTTCTTATGTATATCAACCACTACATGTAACAGCCCCTGTTTCGGAAGGCTGGGGAGCATACCGTACTAGGGAGTACAATTTCCTTCTCAACTAACCACCCCTCCCAGAGCTCAACGAATTCCGCCCCTGGCCGGCATTCATGCACCTTCCCGAATCCCGTGCCCAGTCTGTGCCCCGTTGACCTAGCTTCTCACACGTGGTGTCATCATCGCCCTACCGCGAAATCCAAAACACAAGCACAGGTGCTTCACAAATTTTGATACGAAACTTGCTGCTTCCGTTCCGCGCGTCTTCCGGCCTGCATGACACCGACGACCCGAGGGTGAGGCTCGCTCAACAGCGCCACGCTCGGTTTCTTTAGGCGCCTCAAAATTATTTAGACTTGCGTAGCTGGGCCGCTCCCCTCTCGGCATGCCCTCGAGTGACCGCGAGGCGGAGGCCTCCCGCCTCGTCCCGTCGCCCCCCGACAATCCCTCAGAGGAAAGCAGCTTTGCCGGCGGCAGACCATCCGCGCACGAGCCGGCAGACGAGCCGGCAGACGAGGCGGCAGACGCGATGGAGGACGGCAGCAGTCTGCTGCGCAGCGACGGGGACTCGGCTGGAAGCGCGGGCGGCGGGCGTGGCGGAGGCGCATCCTCCTCGTCCTCTTCCTCCGCGCTCCCCGCGTCGTCGAGTCGCGCGCGCCGCCCCATGCAGGTGGAGCGGCACGACGACTTGGAGCCGCGGTCGCGCCTGTCGTCGCTGATAGACGCGGCGAAGCGCAACCGGCTGTCGTTCGCGGCGGTGGCGGCGGCCGCCGTGGTGCTCCTGGGCTGGATGCTCTCCGCGCTGCTCGCGGGCCTCCTCTCCCCGCCCGCCTCCGACTCTTCAGGTACCAATCACTGCTGCCGCTGCGGCCGTTGCTGGCCGCTGCTGCTGCTGCTGCCCCAGCGGTCACTCTTAGTACATCTCACTCGTCCAAATCTCATGATATATAATATATTTTCACCCTCGAACAAACCTCAATCTATTTCCCGTCCCCTTCCTCCGACCCCTTTTTCCGCCCGCCTTCCCCCTTCCCACCACCCTTTTCCCCGTCCACCTTCTCTCCCCCCCTTATGGCCTCCGCCCTTCCCCGCATGCGTCGCGTGCTTATCCCTGCAGGCAGCGGAGTGTCGGCGGTAGCAGCGGCGTGGGGAGAGGAGGAGGGGGTGCTGCGCGCGGCGGATGAGGGCGCGGGGAGCGCGGGGGGGCGGTGTGCGGTGTACACGTTCTTTGACCTGAACAGCGTGCAGGGGAAGCTGGAGGACGAAGAGAAGTGCGTGAGCGTGGGGGGTGCTGGGGTGAGGGGACAGAGAGGGTGTGAGGGGGGAGGGGGGGGGGGGGGGGGGGGGGGTTGTGTGGGAGGGGGTGTGGGGGAGGGGGTGTGGGGGAGGGATTTGTGAGGGAGGGTTTGTGAGGAATGGAGGATATGGGAGGGGATGTGAGGGAGCGGGTCTGTGAGGGGGTGTGTGCGAGGGAAAAGGGAGGGGCGGAGAGAGCGAGTGAAGGAGAGAAAAGCATGTGAGGGGATGGGGGTGGGGGAAGGGAAGAAAAGGGTTAATGAATGGTCCCTCGCTCACACAGTCTCGCTTCTACAATCTCACCGATCGACTTCCACCCACTAACCCTTGCAAATGCCTTTTGCCACACCAGCTCACTGACCCTCCTACACCAGCTCACTGACTGACCCTCCTAAACCATTCCCCCCCTCCCCTTCCCCCCCCCCAACCAACCCTCTCCCCCCCCTCTGCAACTCAACCCGTCGCCTGCCCCTCGCAGGCTGGTGACGTCATGGCAGCTGAGCTGGCAGCGGGCGGGGTGGGCACCCCAGGTGCTGCAGAAGAAGCATGCGGGGCGGCACCCGCTCTTCCCCAACCTGCAGCAGCGCGCCAAGGCGGGCAACTGGGTGAGTGAGTGAGAGAGAGAGTCGGCACATGGGATGGGATGGGACTTGGGTGTGTGAAATGAGGCTGTCCAGTCCGGGAAGGAAGGACGAAATGGTTGCTGGCTGGCACGACGTATGACAGTCGAGCCAGAGTCCAGTCGTCCTAGTCCGACTAGTCCTCCCTAGTCCTCACCCTCACCCTTACCCTACCCTCATAGTCCTCACCCCACGCCGTTCACCCTACCCTACCCTCCGCACACCCCACCCACTGGCGTCCCGCCCCCACACTCACCCATGCCATGCCCATCCATGCAGGAGTTCATGCGATGGCTCGCCATGGCAGTGTTGGGGGGCGGGCTGTACGCACACTACTCTGTCATCAACCTTCGTTCTGCCGCCGGCCCTCACCCCACACCCCTCACCCCACACCCCTCGCCCCACACCCCTCGCCCCACACCCCTCGCCCCACACCCCTCGCCCCACGCTCACTCCTTTCACTGCATGCAGGAGTTCATGCGATGGCTCGCCATGGCAGTGTCAGGGGGAGGCCTGTACGCACACTACTCTGTGATCAACCTCGGCCTGCCGCCACCGCCCCGCTGTTTCCAGTCCGCACTCACCGCTTTCGGGGTATGTATGGGAGAAGCTGACTTTGGAGTCATCCCAATTCAAAAGTCCTTCGGGCTATGGTATGGTATGGTATGTATATGAAGTGACAAGAACACGCCATGTGTATGGAAAGAACACGCAATTCCGCTTCGTCTTTACATGGATGATGGATGGGTATGGCATGGCATGATCACATCGTCATGTGCTTCTTCTTTCTCCTTTGCTCTCTGGCTACCCAGTATTCCCAGTATTCCCAGTTTTCCCAGCTTTCCCAGTATTCCCAGTTTTCCCAGTTTTCCCAGCTTTCCCAGTTTTCCCAGTTTTCCCAGTTTTCCCAGTTTTCCCAGCTTTCCCAGCTTTCCCAGTTTTCCCAGTTTTCCCAGTTTTCCCAGTTTTTCCAGTTTTCCCAGTTTTCCCAGTATTCACCTCAACCATCATGCGCGCGTGTGTGTGTGTGTGAAGCCTCAGGGGTTCTGGTTGGATGCACTTGCTGTGTATCAAACCCCTTCCAGATCATTTCCATTCCATCTCACAGCATACATAACATCTCTCCGTTCCTGTAACTCTCGCTCCCCATCTCCGTCTCCCTCTCCCTCCCCCTGTCCATCCCCTTCCCCCTCCCCTTCCCCTTCCCCCTCCCCTTCACCCTCCCCGTACCCTTCCCACCCCCCTGCTCCGCAGGACTCCTCTACCCCATCGCTATTATCCGGCACCCCTCACGACTTCGTAGCTCTCGCACGCTCCTCCCTGCTGCCGTCCGGTGCTGACCTGGCAGACGCCCGGGGGCTCCCCGTGCCACGTGGCATCGTGCAAGTGGGCCAGAGCACAGCGAGATCGCTGCTTGTGCCAGGCC